AAATAAATGCATATAATTGCATATTTGGAATAAAAATTATGCATATATATGCGCATATTTTGATTGAATTTAACTGCATATATTCCGCGCTTTAGTGATCACTGTTGTATCAACAGCTCATATTATCACTGAAGGTTAAGCTTCCTAATAAAGTCCGTCCCAGAGTAGTCAGATTAAATGGTTTATGCGAAATGGCATTGACTTGTTTTTAGTTTGGCCACAAAATGTAAATAAATCATTTAAATTTACGTTGTCTCGACCGTTCTACCGTCATTAGAGGGCAGATTTGCGGTTTTTTTTAACAGTAAGGATTTCTCTTTTCAAAAGGCAGTTTCCAACGACAGGCAAAAATTACAGAGAAATTTCGCTTGCAAATTGCAATTTTAATAGTTATTACAACACGCATACGTTTGAACAGTTTTGAGAAAACTCAAAAGTAACAATTGAAACAATATCAAATATATTTAAAACAACTAGCTAAACAGTGTAATGACATTGCAAGTTTCTATTAGCCTAGAAAAAACATATAATTTATCTAATCACACCAACTGGTGCGAAAAAAAATTTTAATCAAAATACCAATCTATCCACCTCTTACACCCGAACAGGACTTCATGTGCAAATTCAATGATCCTCTCGAAATATATCCGCCATTGCAAAACTGACAAATATAGGGACGTTCCCCGGTATGTCCCCGCACATGAATCCTAAGGGAACATGCTTGATTGAAACATTTTCCACAATATTCACAAGGATACGGTTTTTCCCCGGTGTGCACCCTCTCGTGCATTATAAGATAATCCTTCTTGGTAAATGATTTTTCGCAAAACCGACAATGAAACGGCTTTTCCCCGGTATGAATCCGATAGTGTATCTTCAGCTTATCGCTGGATCCAAAACCTTTTCCACACAGATCACAGAGGTGCCTTTTTTCGTTTCTGTCGTCTCCATTTTTGTGCTTGGATGTTATGTGCTTCAGTAGAGTATCCACTTTGGAAAACACCTTCAAGCAAATGCTGCATTGGGTTTTATGCAAGGTCCCTTCGATGTAGACAGTGTGATGGCGTACTTGGTGAATATTCATGTATCTAAAAAATATTACTGTTATATCAGCGTAAAAAATAGTGATCAGTTTCGCTTAGCGAAATAATGAGAAGAAAAATGAATTCGCGGCATTATTTCACATGAGAAAACTTTATTTCATAACATTTTTGTTCACAAACGTTTCGTGTTTCCAGGTTTTATTTGTATTTAAATTCATCACTAATTTGGCTTAGAAAAAATCGGATTTCTTGTACATTATGTGTACTACATCGCCAAGGTTAGGCAGACATCAAACCGCAAAAATATCAAGTATCGAGAAAAGACTCTCCATCTGGAACTTTTAGGAACATTTCTTAGCATTAGATGGTGTTGGTTTGAGTCAATGTTAGCTTGGCTTAATCAAATTTCCCCTAAAGAAAACTAATATTGAAATAAAAAGTTTTCTGGAAAATTGTACATTTGTGAGCAAAAATATCAAATTTTGAAGATGTTTATTGAGTTGTAATTTAGCGAAAATCAATAATTCAAAAATAATCAACATGTAAGTAAATTCTCTATGTATCGATCTTTAATATACGGGGTGTCAATTTGAAAACTTCCCACCCTTAATATCTTTCTTGCAGTTGAAAATACGAAAAATCGTTAAATATTAAGGGTGGGAAGTTTTCAAATTGCCACCCGGTTGATACTAACCTGGAGTAACAAAAAGCCTTTTCGCAGACCACGCAAATAAAAGGCTTAATTCCCAAGTGCTCATTATTATGCTCCTTGTAAATCACCGAGTCATTGAATCCCTTCCCGCAGGTGCCACAAGTATAGTAAAATTTGTGATAATGCACGCGGTTGATATGAGTTTGCAGACAAGTCCTCCTTTGGGTACTGTAACTGCATAGAGGACAAACCATCATATCATCACTCGAGTGGCTCTTCATATGGATGGCGAATGAGTAGGCCTTCTTGCAGGTGTGAGTACAGACCTCGCATGAGTAAAACTCTTCGTGAATTTTGGAAATGTGCTTCTCCACTTCATCCTGAGTTTGATACTCGGCAGAACAAGTGTTGCAGTAGTACAAGTCCTGTTGCTCATCGTACTTAAAAGTGTGGTCCTCTGAAGGAGTGTCATCGCTGTGAATTTTTCCATGTTCCGTCAGTCCTTTACGAGTATCAAACTCCTGAAGGCATTTTCTGCAGGTCCACAGTTTGTGCTCCTGTTTCTTCTTCTTTTTGGCCTTGGTCACCTTTTCTATGGAGTCGGGTTTTTCTTTTTTTATTTTTACAATTTTCGCAGGTTTTTTCTTCTTTTTTACAATGGTTCCAGGGTGATAATCTTCGTCTTCATCTTTACTCTCCGACTTTAGCTTTAGTTTCTTTGAGGAGAGAGATTTGGTGGGTGGAATAATCGCTGATGGGTTAAGCTCGTATTCGCTAACCTCCATTTCGACTTGGAGGTGCTCGCTGTAGTGATACGGCCACGAAAACCTAAAAATTGCAGCAATAAGTAAAATAATAATATTCGCAATAATAGAGGAGATATTGAAGTCAAAGGGTTTCGAATTGTACGTTTCAATTTACAAAACTCAGAACTTGTCACAAAAAAATTCGAAAATAAAATGCAGATTTGTGGAACAAGTACACTTTAGATGTCAGTTAGCACTTTTCTATTATCAAAGAAAAATATTTCAGTAATAAATTAAAGAAATTGGTATTTAACAATACAACGGATTCAATGTTCTGCTGATCCTACATCTTCTAACGAGGAAAATAGGTAGTGTTTGGCCGCAGCAACAGATTCCAGTGAATGCTTGGAATCTTTTCTGCTCCAGAAACCAGTTCAATGTCCAAATGTACATAATTGCTAGATTTACTTACTTTTGGATGCGTGGGAAATTCGAAATTAGATTCACTCTGATAACATACAGTGTAGCTTATAAGCGACAGAAAACCCACCTGTCAGGAATGACAAACACTTTTACTTAGCAACCAGCTGGAAATGGTGCTTTCACATGCATTGCTATAGTAATAAATAATGTTCATTATTGTCGAAATGAATCCCTTTACACAGTGGTTCGCTACAACTGGAAAATGTCAATTTTTTCAAAGGTTTTAAAACATTAATCTGGACGACTACGCGAGTTTTGTAAACAACAATTGTCCAATTGCTAAAAAAAAATTATTTTATTTGTTATTACACAGAAAATGCATAATATTAATGAAAAAGTCCTTTTTGCAAAAAAACGCAAACTTCCTAGTTTCAAGTGGGAAAGCTACGAATATTTTTTTCGCAATTTGCATGAAATAAGCGACTTTCAATTTTTCAAGAATTTTCATGATTTTCAATAAGGCTTGTAAAGCATCCCATTTCAAAAAATCACAATCACAATTAAAGAGTTTTATTCTCAATAATTGGTAGATGCTTATGGATATGTAGAACGTTGATTCTAACAGCCAGAAAATAAAACATCAACTTTTCTAAATAGATATAATAATGTCGTAAGTTCAACTATCTTAACCTATAATAAATGTTCACATTCTGGGAAATTGGATAAATTGAGTAATAAATAAACAAAGCAAGAAAGGAAACAACGTGATGCATCAATGCGGCCTTCTCTTCAGGTGAACATCTAAATTACTCACAATATTATAAAGGGCAGAAGTTTTACATATTTACAAGTTGAAATTCTAGAAACAATAGAATTAACTAACCCTAAACCGTAGAAGTAACCCTAAATGAAGAGAAATAGTGTTCATTTATTATTATAAATGTATAAGATCCACGATAAACTTGGAATAGTGACTTTGCTGTTGTTTCGACTTTAAGTTATTTGTTAAAATTTACAAAGACAAACTAAGTGAAGAGAAAATGGAACTAATGGCCTCATAAGAACCGTCCAAGTTTGCTAATTTAATCTTAGGCACCTGCAAGACCGGCTTCGAGCCTAATAGCTAGCATCAGGCTGGTATTCTGAATGTATAATTGTCCTTGACCCCGTTATAAAATGCATGGGCGAAAACCGACTAATCAGAGCTAATAGGTTCAAAACCGGTCCTGGGGTTGCCTGAAATTAACACGTCTACAACTTTGAACCTGCTAAGGCACAATTGTTACTGTACCAGAAGTTATATATTCACGAGATAAAAGAATGTTCATCATGTTTAATTTTCCAAACGTCTGTCTACAAGAGTAATGGGTGTCTACCCAAAATATCCAATAATTGATTGAGCAATATAAAATATTCAGTCTGCTTGCGGAAATTTGAGTAGATTTTAACCAACCGGCATATTCAGGATTTCGCTTTAATTAAAGTTAAAGAATTGCAGAAACTTGCCACAGTAAGAAATAAATCTTTACAATACAAATACCTAGAGATTCTAGTAACTATGTTTAAAAATACATCAGGTTGCATTAACTGGTGTAAAAAAATTGACTAATTAAAATTTAGCACCAAAAAATTGATGTGAAACAATGCTTAAATGCTCAAAGATTGTTATCTTTTAGGTCTAGTTCGTTTAACAGAATGTTTGCAAATAGTCACCGAAACGTTTTTTAACAATAGCAGTTCGTCAATGCGCCACTCAGATTGTTCTCTTATGTAATTAGTCGCAAAAGTCGCATTTTTCAGATCATTCCAACAAACTCAAAATCAGAAGAAGGCAGACTGTACAGGGTGTCCCCCGAATACGGGCTGCTATCCGCACTCGAATTTGGAAAATTCCAGGTATTGTCAAAGCGCGTCTGATCTATGCGTCTAACATATTTTTAAAATAGTCTTTCTTCCGGTAATACCGATACAAGTCAAGCCGGTTATTTAAATATCTGAACACTTTTTATGTATGATTTGTGCCTACTTATCGCAGACTTTATTTACTTACTTCCTCTTGATGTACTTATAGATCATATCCGCTTGAGCATGACCTGAAATTTTCGGCATTTTGTATTTTTTCAGCTACAAATACTAGCCCATTTTCGACACCCTGTATCAGCAATTTTACAATTCCCACATAGAGGCAACCCAGAATTTTACTGAAGACTTAAATAATATAACATTCAAATAAATCGAAACATTAACGAAGGTAAATTAGTTCAATTTTGTTTCAGTATATGTCTATGACTATGCTGTAACACATAATATGTATGCACATTGTAATTTTGAATAAAATGTGACTATTTGTTTTAAACCCATTTTGCAAATAGAGCAATAAAGATTCTGTGAAGAAACTAACAAGTTTCAAACACTAAATCCTATGGAATATTCAGAACTTGGGCAGTAGTAAGACAGCTTTTAATGTGACTATTCAAAGCGCCCCTAGAAACCGAACCTGCCCCACAATAGGGGCAAATGTAAGGCCTTTCTCCTGTATGGCTTCTCACATGAATCCTCAACGGGGCTCCTTGGTTGAAAGATTTACCGCATATCTGGCAGCTATACGGTTTTTCCCCCGAATGAATTCTTTCATGCATAATCAGATAGTCGCGTTTGATGAAGCTCTTACTGCAATAAACACAGGAATACGGTTTTTCTCCTGTGTGCTTCCTGTAGTGGATTTTCAGTTTGTCCGGCCTAGAAAAACCTTGACCGCACACATCGCACAGATGCTTCTTCTCATAGGGTCCTGTTCGAACTGTTAAATGCTTTGTCGTGTAATGCTTCTCTAATGTATCCAATCTGGCAAAGATTTTCTGACATATGTTACATTGGGTTTTAGATTCTGGATCAAAGACTCGGACAGTATGAGTCCGCAATTGATGCGATAGAAGATATCGCGAATAGTAAAAGTTCTTGCTGCAGACCACACAACTGAAAGGCTTCAAGTTTAAATGAACATTGTCGTGTTCTTTGAAACTCAAGGCGTCATTGAAGCATTTCCCGCATTTTGTGCATTGAAAATCGTAGATTTGCAGGTGCAATCTGTTAATGTGGACTTGCATGGCTTCTTTCTTTTGCGACATATACTGACACCAAGGACACGGAAACATTTTATCGTCCCGATGTTTCTGCACATGAACAGTGTAATTTATCGGCCCAAATAAGTCTTCCTTGCACACATAACACGCGAACTTCTTTTCATGCGTCTGTACGTGTTTTTCAATTTCATCCAAGTCCTGACATTCAGCAGAACAATTGTTGCAAATATACAACTCAAGGTCCTCGTCGAAGTGATATTTCTGCGCTTCAACAGTCGGGTTATATTTTTCCATTTCAGTGTGCTCTTTCCGGTGCTGGAACATCTCCTTTCTCGATCCAAATGTCTGAAAACAAAACTTGCACGTCCACATATTCGCTTTTTGGTTTTTCGGTAGTTTTGTTGGACTATCGCCTTTTTCCTTTTTTATTCGAGTTCTTCGTTCCTTTGTTTCGGCTTTGGGCTTTTTCACATCCTCAGGCGACCATTTAATGTCCTTGGTTGATCTGCGTTTTCTTCGCGATCTTTTCAACTTGGATGAATTAGTGTCACATTCATATTCTTCTTTGATGAGGACTTTAATCCTAAAAATATTTTATTGTCAGTTCATATTCATATTGCCAAATCAAAGGAATGCAGTACTTTTAATACTTGCACAAACAAACAAATATCAAAAAAGCTGCTGGTAGAGAAAGAAAAGTATTGACTGGAAAATAAGAATTAACTAAGTGCGTAAATATATTGCAATAATTTGACTATTGCTATCCAGTAACTTTTCCGTTTTAACGGGTCAACTGGTTCCTACAAAACAAATGTTAATAAAAATTCAAACAAGAAAATGGACATAAATCCATGACTAAAACCGCACAGTTAAAAGGATGAAAAACAACTAAGAAAAAACACGTAGTATGTAGAAAATGTGTCCTACTAATCCAAATATTCGTGATTTTAACTGTTGGTTGAAAACCGTGTAAAGAATTTTAAAGATACGAAAAATTGTTAATTGTGAACTGAGAATTTTAGCGATGCTTCTGACTAAGTCTTCGTCCAAAAAAAGCTGAATAGGAGAGATAGAGAAAATCTTTAGCTAATTCCAGACGAATTAGGATGAGTCCAACATCCTAAAGAGTATAGAAGTTTGTAAAATTGACAGTGGCTAATATTTAGCAAATTACTTGCACTGGTTTCAACTGCACTGAAAAAACACAACGTAAATAGAAAATTATATTTCTCTACAATCACAAACTCTTCCAACTGAGGCAGTTAGAGTCATAAGTCAACTATGGATATCAAGATTAATTAATAATTATGGCAATAGTTGACAATTTTTAAGTCGTTATTATTCAGCAATTAATTAAAAAGGCGTATTGTGTAAGGAAGACTAGCAATTCATGCTGCTTCAAACAATAAACGAGAGTTAAAGATGCACAAAATAGCAGTGACCAGGTGAAGGTGTATTGAAATTGAAAATGCTATATTTATTTTATTTATATATATTCAGGGTTATTAACCCTGAACACTGAAAACGGAAATTCCGCTTATCCACTATTCTGTTAAGCAGGAAATGTTTCAAAAACACATTTCTGATCTACAATTTCTCAGGCTGTAAATAAAACGGGTAAATTCAGAGTAACCAACCCAAAAAGCTGCTCTCAACCATGTGGGAAAATACCTTAGTAAAATAAAACGTCCTTAGATATCAGTATTCTTTATTCGAGCCTGTGCTAACTGAAGCCTAAAGCATGTCACCTTTTATGTTCAAAAACACAATACACTGATGTACCACCTATACATTTTCGAATAAATAATTTTTTTCCAAAATAAGGCTGGTAAATAACCTAGCCATCGTAATCCCTTTCCATTCACTCCAATGCAAGTTTCTACTTGTTTTGTGTCATTTGCAACATCTCATCATTGTCTTTAGGAAGTGTGGTACTGTTTTCGATTAAATTTTCTTGCGTTTTTCGTAACTTGTGTGTGAAACTAAAGTGTATTCGCATTGAAATGTCCACAGGAAGAAATTTAACTTGGCTGAACGGGAAAACGCGGTTCCTAAAGAATGACACAACATACCCCAAAAATTGATTACACACCTTTTGTATGACATTCCAAGACGTCCGAAGGACGTTTTTCGAGCTAGAGACGGCAATACACGCTATTGAATCGGTTAAACACGGAAACTTTACCTGCATTTCAAAACTCATTTTTCATAAGGTTTTTTTAGTTTAATTTTTCTTTCGAAGACATTCTCATATTAATTTAAAAAACAATAATTTGAATTTTGATAAAAG